GAGAAAAACAGTGGAAGAGAGGGAGAAAGAGGCAGAGGGGTAAGAGAGACTGGGAAGGAGGGGGGAGAAAGAAACATACAGAGGGACGGGGGGAGACAAAAAGGCACACAGAAGGGCTGTATATATCACTGGTGGAGTCCAGGGGGGCAACAGGGCAATTGCTCCCCCTCCCCTGTCCGCAGGCACCGTGCGGGCAGGGGAGGAAGGAAGAGAGGACCTGGGAGCTCACCCTGCAGCTCCTCTGGGTCCTTCTTGCACGAGCACAGAGCGTTGCCGCGATTACCATGGCAACGTTACCGCTCTTGCGAGAGTCAACTCTAGCCCTGGAGCTACGGTCTAGTGTTCACTCTCAACACTGTGACCCCCAGGGATTCCTGGTGGTCGCAGTGGTGAGAAGTGAACTCTAGCCCCATAAACACACTGCCCCCACACACACAACATACACATTCACACACTGCCCCCATACACACCATACACATTTACACACATTGCCTCACACACACACATACACTGCCCACCCATATACACATAGACCCCATACACAGCCCCCCATACTAACATTGCCACACACGTACACAGCCCACACACCCTACACATTCACACACTACACCCCCCACACACACTGAACCTTTCACACACATTGCACCACTGCTCCTATTCCCTACTACAGCCCCATATCCCAGCAGATCCCAGGTAAGTTGTCAAACTGTTCTTAAATGGTTTGACTACTTACTCTGGAGCAGTAGTGGTTATTGTGCATGGATTATTTATTTAAATAATCTACAAGTGCCCCAGTAGCCAGCCAGCCAACCCACAGGCTGGCCAGTAGCCAGCCAGTTAGCCAGCCCACAGGCCAGTAGCCAGCCCACAGGCCTACAGCAAGCCACAGGCTTACAGCCAGCAAGCCCCAGCCTGCAAGTCGCAGCCAGCAAGCCACAGCCTGCCAGTCGCAGCCAGCAAGCCCCAGCCTGCCAGCCGCAGTCAGCAAGCCCACAGCCTGCCGGCAGTAGCCAGCAAGCCCACAGCCTGCCAGCCGCAGCAAGCAAGCCCACAGACTGCCAGCCAGCAACAGTAATTAAGGTAAGAGGAGCCAACTTGGCCTAGGTATCAGTGAGCTATGTTGTGTTGCTATATTGTGAATAGGAACCAGAGTGTTGGAGAGACCACCCTCCAGGCCCCATTAGACTCCATTGTAGTCTCTAATGGGGCCTGGAGGAGATTCTTTCTAACACACTCTCTAAAGGACACTGAGATAGCCTCTGCTAGAAATCCCCTCCATGGCCCATTAGCCCTCAATTGTAGTCTCTACTGGGGCCTGGAGGCGACTGTTTCCAGCAGGGGATATCTAATGGACGCTGAGATGGTGTCTGTTAGAAAGACCCCCTTCCAAGCCTATTAGACTCCATTGTAGTCTCTAATGGGGCCTTGAGGGGATTCTTTCTAACACACTCTCTAAAGGACACTGAGATAGTCTCCGCTAGAAAGACCCATGGCCCATTAGCCCTCAATTGTAGTCTCTGATGGGGCCTCGAAGGGCTTATTGCCCTTTTGTTCCTCGTGTCTAAAGATTGTGTAGGGTGTGGCTGGAGGCGGTGCATGGAGGCGGGACAAGGGTGGCGCTTGCTGCAGAGTATGGGTGGGGCCTGTAAGGGGGCCCTTGATTTATTTTGCCCGGGGGCCCTGAGGGTTCTCAGTCCGCCCCTGCCCCTGTCTCGTCTTTATTCCAAGCTATACATGTTAAGATCTTTTAACCTTTCCTGGTAAGTTTTATCCCGCAATCCATGAACCAGTTTAGTAGCCCTTCTCTGATCCCTCTCTAAGGTATCAATATCCTTCTGAAGATACGATCTCCAGTACTGTAATTTACCATCTAAGGACATTTTTAACTATTTAAGGATTAAAAGTTTTCTGAGAGGATAAGCTAGGCAAGCAATTAAAATAAATTTTAGTGATTAAGACTAGTGATGTCCCGAACGGTTCGCCGAACGGTTCGCGAGCAGTTCGCCACAGACTCATCATTGAGTAAACTTTGACCCTGTACCTCACAGTCAGCAGACACATTCCAGCCAATCAGCAGCAGACCCTCCTTCCCAGACCCTCCCACCTCCTGGACAGCTCACTAAGAATGCAGCTTCACAATGAATGTAATATGGATTCTGTCCAGGAGGTGGGAGGGAGGGTCTGCTGCTGATTGGCTGGAATGTGTCTGCTGACTGTGAGGTACAGGGTCAAAGTTTACTCAATGATGAGTCTGTGGCGAACCGTTCGGCGAATCGTTCGGGGAATCACTAATAAAGACCACTAAACATCATTATGCTAAAGCGATGGAAGTGATAATACAAGTGGGCCGCCCCAACAGTCTTTAAGTCATGGGAAGTTGATTTATCCAAAAAAATACAATATAGGGCATGGTGCAAAATAGTAAGATAACACTTCTGGTATCTAAGAAAGAGAAAAAACGGTAGAAGAACTTCTAGTGCAACACAATTTATATATATATATATATATGTATATATATATATATATGAATGATTATATTAAAAAAAGTCTTTAAGTATCTCACTCACAAGGTAAGAGTTGCTAACCCCTTAAGGACACAACTTCTGGAATAAAAGGGAATCATGATGGAATATTTCCGTCATGTGTCCTTAAGGGGTTAAAGCACCACTCGTAGCTATAACGCTCAGGGAGGATCAGCCCCTAGCGTGCATGGGATCCATAGGATACACTCGCGACCAGGATCTCAGGTAAGTACAATCTTTATTCGGTAATGCAATAAAAATATGTGCAAATCTGTAAAAAGTCCACCATTAGCTCACCAGCCCTTGGGAACGAGTAAAGTTTGTTTGCAATGTATTCAGTTACTTCTGTCCCTATCTGCGGCTGGTTCTGCCAATGTGTAGTAAATCACTTCCTGGTTCCTGATCCGTGGCGCATTTCGCCCCTCCTCTTGGGGCTTTGTCAAATGTGCTGTGTATCCTTCCACTTCCTTTCACTTTATATTTGCAGGAAATTACAATCCAAAAAAAAACCCTTATATAAAGGCAAATGCAAAGTCTTAATAATCTCTCCTATAATTTCATAGTAAATAGTAAAAACAAGCACAAATTTAAAATAAATCAAGAAAAGAAAAACTGCATTATCCCACATTACTGACAACTGTCATAATTATTAGTGCAAAAAGGCATTTTAAAAGTCATTGTTATAAAATATGTTAATTATGTATATACACATAAATAATTAGTAGGGTGAGGTAAAGCATCAGCCACAAAAATATATTTAAAAAACTGTTTTAAAAAGGGTGGGTCGTCTAAACCAAAATCTTTACCAGAAAAGTTTGTAGAAAAGGGGGTAGGTCGCCTAGACCAAAATATTTTACCACAAAAAAAAACCACCATAGTAAAAATCCCCTTTAAAAAGCTACCCATATTGTCAAAAAAGGGGAATAAAAGGGGAAAAATTCCTGTGTATCCTATGTAATATCAGCACTTCAAAAAGTGTTAGTTACTAACAAACTATAAAAAATTAAAAAAAAATGGAGAAAAATAACCATTATGGATGTGCACATAAATAACATATGGTACAGAGTGGGGTAATGAAGACAATCTGTTTCTTTTCTTTGGTAATAGTGAATAAGGTGCTGCATTATTATGTCTATTTTTGAACATAGACAAAGGTCATCATATAAAATTTGATAAAAAGGATAGTGGAAAAAAGAGGATAGAATAGGAAATGATACTGAAGAGATTTTTAAAAACTTAGAAAAACTACTCATTAAAGAGACAAAATACAAGTGGAAAATCGCTTCAATGGAGAAATGTTTAACAGAAAAAAAAATCTCACCAGGAGTAGAGTTGAGCAGACACCTGGATGTTCGGGTCCGACGGGTTCGGCCGAACTTTTAAAAAAAGTCCAGGTTTGGGCTCGAACTTGACCACGAACCCGAACCCCATTGAAGTCAATGGCGACCTGAACTTTTGGCCACAAAAATGCCTCTAAAAACTCCTGGAAAGGGCTAGAGAGCTGCAAAAGGAAGTAAAATGGGGATAAGAGTAGGGCATGTGCCCTGCAAACAAATGTGGATAGGGAAATCACTTAAAATAACATAAAAGTAAAAAATACAGCTGAGCCATAAAATAGCACTAGATGGAATCTTTGAATTTAGCTTTGGAAGAACATAAATCAAAATCTAAAGCATGGCTGTCAGGAGGATCACCAGAATTATCTATTTGAGAGAGGGTTGGAGTGCAAGGTATTCTCTTTCATTGTTCAAACTGAGCTCAACTCTTTATGCATGGAGAAAAGGCCTTCACAAGCATCTGCTATTGTGTACATAGTTTATACTAAGTGACCCATAGGTTGAGGAGGCGGTGACCGTGGCGGTGTAGGTGGAAGCGGCGGTGGAGGAGAAGAAGGTAACCAACACAGTTTATATTTATCTATTTTTTATTCTAATTGGGGTAGCCCCCAAAATATCGGGACATACAAAAAAAAAAAACATTTCCGGCCTGCGGTGCATTTCTTGCATTCCTGATGCATGGAGAAATGCTCAACTCCTGAAGCATGGAGAAAAGGCCTTCACAAGCATCTGCTATTGTGTACATAGTTTATACTAAGTGACCCATAGGTTGAGGAGGCGGTGACCGTGGCGGTGGAGGAGAAAGCAGTGGTGGAGGAGGAGGATGAGGTAGCCAACACTGTATTTTATGTTTGTTTGTTTTTTATTGTGGTAGCCCACAAAATAATGGTACATACAAATAAAGAAACATTTGCGGCCTGTGGTGCATTTCTTGCAGTCCTGATGCATGGAGAAATGCTCAACTCCTGATGCATTGAGAAAATGCCTTCACAAGCCTCTGCTAATGTGTACCTAGTTTATACTAAGTGACCCATAGGTTGAGGAGGCGGTGACCGTGGCAGTGGAGGAGGAGGATGAGGTAGCCAACACTGTTTATATATATATACACACATATATATATTTTAATTTGGGTAGCCCCCAAAATATTGGGACATATAAAAAAAGACAACTCTGTTCCGCAGAGTAGCTGTTGACATTATAGTTGCGCAGGAACTTTGTTGACTCTAGAGAACCTCGGGCAAATCGCACATCCCCATGGTGGCAACTTTGCATGCGGATGTCATCCATATCAACTTTCAATGTCAGTTTCTGCACCTACCATGGTGACCATGAGTAACGGGGAACCAGGATTCCATTCCGTACAGGGACCCTGAGAAACGGCTACCACATGCAAGGAAGGCAGCAGGCGCGCAAATGACCCACTCCCGACACGGGAAGGTAGTGACGACAAATAAGAATACACGACTCTTTAGAGGCCCTGTATTTGTAATGAGTCCACTTAAAATCCTTTAACTCTGATCAATTGAAGAGGAAGTCTGGTGCAGAGCCATTGACACATGCGTGCTGCAGTTGAAACTCCACTATCGCCTGCTGCTGCTCGCAAAGTCTCATGAGGCTGTGAGCGGGAAGGCCAAAGTTACGCTGCAGCGCAGATAGGCGAGCAGCAGCAGGGTGACAATGCCAAAAGCGCGCACAGCCACTACAGTGAATGTCACATCCTGACAGTATCTGGGTCCTGGTCACCGGACTGCCCACCTCACTGTGAAACTATGAATGGATTGTTAAATCTGGTACGAACCCGAACTTTGCAGTTCGGATTCACTCAAGTCTATTATGGATCCTTTGATCGCTACATGTATTACTTGGGTAACTGGTAATTCTCAAGCTAATACATGCCGACGAGCGCTAGGGGATGGCCGCTCCGCTTTTGCACCCTTCTCTCTCTTATGCTGTGCTGGTGCCTCTGTGCCACAGCGCCTCTTCCTCCAAACTGCACACGTCACTCGCATGACCTTGATTCCATGTGGGGTCTAAGACCTCATCATCCTCCACATCATCTTCCACCCACTCCTCAACCCTGCCCTCTTTGCCAGTATGCACACTGCCGAAAGCCACAGCAGTTAGCACCTGTGTTTTTCCAGCATGTAAAGTCTGCAAAGGACATATGGAAATTGTTTTAGAATTTCCTCCAGGCAACAGTTTTCCCTATAAACTGACTTCTCAGTTTGACTTGTGAGGGAATTGCCCCAGAATTACAATATTGTTGAAGTACCACTTAGCTATTGATCACTGGTTTAAATATAGCAGCTTGTTATCTGGTAGTTTATGGTGTAGAAAATATCAATCTGTTTTCTATCACTTACATCTGTGTAACAAGTGTTGTAGGTGTGAAACAATATTACAAGTGACCAAAGTAGTAAATTCGAATCAAAGTTATGCTTTAATTTGACTCTCAGATATGAAGTGAACACCCCAAATATACTATTTAGTGCCAAAAAAATAAATTGACTTTTTAAAACTCCAATGTAAGCAGCAGATTAGCAGCAAAACAATTAGAATGTTTACAAGTGCTCAGTAAGCACACTATTAGATGCTTCGATTTGACTTCCACCTATGAAGAACAGGCCCCAAAATGTACTAATTAGCAGATTAGCAGAAAAACAATTAGAATGTTTACAAGTGCGCAGAAAGCACACTATTAGACGCTTCGATTTGACTCTCAGATATAAAAAGCAGGCCACAAAATGTACTATTTAGCAGATTAGCACACATCATCTCAGATATTAAGTGAACACTATACTATTTAGCGCCCCCCCCAAAAAATTTACTTTTTAAAACTCCAATGTAAGCAGCAGATTAGCAGCAAAACAATTAGAATGTTTACAAGTGTGCAGTTAGCACAATATTAGATGCTTCGATTTGACTCTCAGATATGAAGTGCACCGCAGGCCCCAAAATGTACTATTTAGCAGATTAGCAGCAAAACAACTAGAATGTTTACAAGTGCGCAGTAAGCACACTATTAGACGCTTCAATTTGACTCTCAGATATGAAGAACAGGCCCCAAAATGTACTATTTAGCAGCAAAACAATTAGAATGTTTACAACTGCACTGTAACCGCAGTATTAGACGCTTCTATTTGACTAATATATGAAGTGCGCGCACCAAAATGTACTATTTAGCAGATTAGCTGCAAAACAATTAGAATGTTTACAAGTGCGCAGTAAGCACACTATTAGACGCTTCTATTTGACTCTCAGATATGAAGTGCACCCCACTAATGTACTACCCCACTAATATACTAATTAGCACCAAAATAAAAATTACTTTTTAAAACTCTGATGTAACCGCGGTATTTGAAGCTTCTATTTGACTCTCAGATATGAAGTGCACCCCACCCCACTAATTTACCAGTTTGCAGAATTCTTTCCTAAGCTGTCCCTATCAGCGGCAGCATCCTCTCCCTACACTAATAAGATCGCATGTGCGTGTGGCGCTACGCGACTCTAGCTTATATATAGAGGCTGGGTCACATGCTGCACAGGCCAATCACAGCCATGCCATTAGTAGGCATGGCTGTTTTAGCTTCTAAGGCAACACGAGTCAAATGCTTGTTGATTGGCTGCCCTGCAGCCTTTGAAAACGCGCCATTAAATCGCAGAACTCCAACCCGAACATACAGTGATGGGTCCGGGTTCGCTCAACTCTAACCAAGAGGCTTTTGCTTCTTTAAGACTCCCACCTTTGAAAAAGAGAGTGAAAAGTACCCCAAAATCTGGAATGAGGCTTTGGAATGCTTTTCTTTCGAATGTATGAGTATAGTCATCTCCAGCCGATCAGAGTCATTATCCAAAATAGATGAAGACATACACACACACTACACAACTATTACAACCATGTATGGGAACAGAAGATTTTAACGAATTGTCGGAAAGGACGATCAAAGTATAAAAGAGATAAAAAGGACTATGAGGGAGGAAAAGTAGGGGATTTTAGAAGAGAGAATCAGACTAGGAAAGTTTATCCAAAACAGTTTTGATAGAAATTTTAACATCAACAAATCTCAGAATAGAATCCCCAAACAGGAGTCTGAGACTCCACACTGAAGGAAATTAAACCAAGTAGAGTAGAGAATAGAAGAGATGAGTGGGTACAAGTAAAACCCAGGAATAGAAGATATAATGACAGCACTAAATCTTCCCAGAAACAAAAGGAGAATGACAGGATGAGGAGGAATGGAAGCCTTCAGACGGATATTTTTAGAAATAGATTTGAGAATCTCAGAAATGATAATATAGAACACGTTTTTTTAGACAATGAACCGAGGAGGAACAAATTTCCACTAAAAAGAGAATATGTTTCAGGGATGTAGAAGAGGAAAGCAGAAGAAAAGCAAAAAGGCACAATCGGTAATTCTGATTAGCATTTATAATAAAACATAAAATCTCCTAGAACCCAGGTCTTTTATATCCTTCCAAAAGTACACAAGGACTTACTTAACCCACCTGGAAGACATATTGTCTCTGAGATTGGGTCTATTTCAAACAACTTGTCTAAATACATTGACTCCTATTTTCAACCAGTGGTGATAAAAACAAAGTCCTTTCTGAAAGACACAACAGATGTCCTAAGGATGTTGAAGGATTTTGTGTGGAAAGACGGATACCATTTGGTCACCTGTGATGTCACCTCCTTATATACCTGCATACCACTTGAAAAAAGATGTGTAGCGGTCAGATATTTCTTAGAGCACGTTTAGATATTACCATCCACACAGATTCATGTTTTAATAGATTGTATTAGATGGACCCTGGATAACAATTAGTTTCATTCAATTCTTACTTTTATTTGTGTAATGACATGAATGGGTGCTGCCCTGGAACAACACTGTCCCTTTAAATGTGGGAACCAATTCAGCAAAGAAATAAATGCCAAGACACAAATGAATAGGGTAAATCAAGAGATATATATATTACAGAGAACCAAAAGACAAAACAAAACAATATATATATACAATAAATCAGGATGAGCACGAATAGTTCAGGCAATGTATACTGAAACAGTCATTTGGTATAAGGGCAGGATTGTGCAGTTACCACGAGTAGTAGGTAGGGCACAGATCCAGAGTCACAAGACTAATATACTGACACCAGGAAGCAAGGTCAAAAGCAGAATAAATGAACAAGGCTGCAGGGTCAGGATCACTGGTAATAATGCAGAGAACACGGAACCAGAACACAGGATCGGAGGGCACAGGAACGAAGGACCAAGAGGACACAGGAACGCAGGATCAGGAAGACACAGGACGGAGACCAGGAGAACACAGGGACGAAGCGCAGGACACAGGACCAAGGAACAGTATGCAGGATCAAGGAGCCAGGAGCCAGAATCACTCCTTGAGCTGGCAAGGAGTGAAGGGAGAATCCAAACTATATAGGTGCTAAACAAGGACCAGGTGAAGTGCTTAACGAAAAGAAATTAGGAACAGTGCCAAACAAAGATAGTGGTGAATGTGGGTACTGCACGAGGGCAAATCAACTAAGGAGTGTCGTGACAATTTGCAAAAGAGAGTAACGGCAATGGGCAGTACTTATGCACCCAGTTATGCTAATATTTTTATGGCCCATTGGGAAAACACATTTATCTATGGCCAACATAACTGGAGTGCACAGGTACGAGCCTATCGCCTTTATATAGAGGATATGATTTTTATCTGGGAAGGAAGCCTGGGTAGGCGGCGAAATGCATCACACAGACGTCACTGGAGAGGCGCACACGGAAGTGATCACATGACCGGGACGGACGAAACCCGGAAGAGACTTTTTACAAGCGTTTTTTCCCCTACACCCTCTATATATATATATATTTTTTTTTTTTTTTAATTGTTCAGATAGTTTAGCGTGCTTCTTTGATAAACCTTTTTAACTGCAAATATTTTCATCAGTATAAACAGAGATTACTCTGCAATACCAGCGCCGGCCAGTAGGGGTCACTGTGTGTGGAGAGAGGCATGGATAGGAAGATACAGCATCTCCCTGCCTCGCTCTACTCACTGACCCGCAGGGGAGCAGTTATACAGCACAGAGAGTCCAGACAGCAGCTCCCAGCCTGCAGAAACAGACTACAGCTCAGGTATGTGAAGGATGGGGGGAAAGGCAGCAGGGAGACATGGGGACACTGAAACACTAGGGGACACATGGAGGACACAGACACTAGGGGACACTGGGAGACGTAGGGACACTGGGAAACATGGGGACACTGAGTCATGGGAACGCTGAGACACAGTGTCTGTGTTCCCATGTCTCTGTGTCCCTAGTGTCTTAGTTTCCCCAAATGTCTGTGTCCCCATGTCTCCCAGTGTCTGTGTCCCAATGTCTCTGTGTGCCTAGTGTCTGTGACCCCATTTCTCTCAGTGTCCCCAAATGTCTGTGTCCCAATGTCGC